ATAATCATCAGTCGAATCTCTTACATTAATATATTAGAGACGTTTTGAAATGTTTTGATTGACAGAGTTATTGTTACGCTTTTTAAATTAAAACTCAGCCCTCATAGTCTAACGTTTTATGAACAACATTGTCATCAGACATATATCTAACGCTAGACTAATCAATTTAGTATTCAGAGAAAAGTTATGAAACGTTTTGATTTACAGAATTAATTTTTTTTACTCTGTAAAAAAACTTTCGTTTCCTGAATATTAAAATAATAACCCATTTCTGCAACGTTGAATTTTTCATTATACTATAAGGGAAAACGTTTCAAAACGTTTTCATAAACAGTGATGCATTTTTCAGTTATACAACGTTACAGTTTTTATAAATTTAACTTTGAAATAGAAATCCTTTCGTTACGATATTCAATCAAATCACAATTCATTTTTCAAACGTTAGACTTTCAAGCTCCCTTTGGAAACAAAACATTGCTTTACGTTATGGCCAAAAAAGTTGTAGATATTAGAAAAATAACGTTACATTTCCACAAAACGCTAACGTCGGGAGTAAATTCCTCTAACGTTAACGTTTAACGTTAACGTTAGGTATGAGCTCCTATAACATTAACATTTAACGTTCACGTTATATAGAATATATCCAAACGTTACACATTATTGTAACGTAACGTACAAAAACGTACATTTTACGTTACGTTACACTATCGTTGACATCTCTAGGTTAGTCTGGTTCATATATTTTCATTAACTATGTGTTTTTTTTTACCTGGAACGTTTTGTGTGCAACTTTTTCTCTCTCAATGCTCCTTTATGAAACCTAAAAACATATTTTCAAAAAAAAATCCATCCATCCTTGAAAAAGAAACTCACACTGCAGGTTACTGGAGGTATGTAAACCAAGCTTCTAGGATACGTAGAACACTTATTAAACTTGCATAATTATTCTTTGAAAAAACCATCCTGTCAGTCCTCGGTAAGAATTTGATCTAAACATTGGCTCCACTTGTAAAAAAAAACAGTTTTCTGACTTTATTAGTTTTTAAAAATGTTCAAAATTAACTGGAGTTGCTTAAATTCCAATCTGATCCGATTTCCCGAAATCCAAATTCAACCCGTAATATATTACCTCTGCAGATGTTTGGTTAGAATGTTTGTAACTTGTCCATGAACTTTAATCTTTAAATGACACATGTTGCACCGAAAACTTCTCTCCAACATCCCGGCTTCGTTCACAGTTTCGTAGTTCTTAGTAAAACGTTTCCGAACAATATCTTTCCTGGGTTCCATCTTCTCTCTTATCCATTCTAAATTAAGGACATTAGTCAGAAACTTTTGACAAAAATTCAGCTAAGCTACATGGCTTAACTGAACCTAGTTAAGCTCTTAAGTCAAGATTTTAGACAATGAATAAAGAACAATTGTTTCTATATGGTTACATTGCAGGTTCAGTGCAGTGCAGTGCAGAGCACTGCAGTACAGTACAGTACAGTACAGTACAGTACAGTACAGTACAGTACAGTACAGTACAGTACAGTACAGTACAGTACAGTACAGTACAACAGTTTATAATATCAGTCCTTAAAGTACCAGTTTATAATATTAGTCCTTAAAGTACCAGTTTATAATATCAGTCCTTACAGTATCAGATTATAATATCAGTCCTTAAAGTATTAGTTTATAATATCAATCCTTAAAGTATCAGTTTATAATATCAGTCCTTAAAGTATCAGTTTATAATATCAGTCCTTAAAGTACCAGTTTATAATATCAGTCATTACAGTATCAGATTATATTATCAGTCCTTACAGTATCAGATTATAATATCAGTCCTTAAAGTATCAGTTTATAATATCATTCCTTAAAGTATCAGTTTATAATATCAGTCCTGAAAGACTACTTACCTCCTGATTTTTCATTGAGAAGTGATTGACACTTAGCTGTTACTTTCATCCAAGGATGAGTTTTCTTCACGTGATTAATAATTACCTGATAACAGAGATTGCCTAAAAGGGACTGTAAGCGTAATTTCAAGTGACCCATCATACAAAGATGAAAATGCCCGATTTGAAGCTTTGTCTGATCAAGTATGAATTAGATATCAATGTTTTTTTTTCTTTAAACTGATTATTTTCTTTTAGTTTTATCTGCAAAAGTGGTTCGCGCATTTCTTGCTTAAGAGACAATGGAGAAACTTACAGAAATAACCAGTTTTTGAGTAGGAAAACGACGTTTTCTTGCACATTTTTGAAGAGATTAAGGTTTCAGGGTACGGAGTTATTAATCAGGCATTGCTATCTTTGCATGGAGGGTCACTTAAAATTGCGCTTACAGTCTAGTCCACTTTAAGCATTAGCTTTCCGACACATAATTGTTTAATCTTATTTGAGTCCCGCCCCTTCCCCCTGAAACCAACACTATAACAAGTAAATTCTGGAATAGGTTGTTTTAGAATACATCAAAAACTTTAAATTCAATCTTTTTGGCTAGCAAAAAGTCTCAAAATTAGTGTGATTTAATCACAAAACATCAGGAACTACCAATAACTACCATCCACATTCCACACCCAAAATAAATTACTACAAAAATTATCAGCTGTAGCATCTAACCTCAACTTTGTTCTCTGGCGTAGTTTCTAAAAATATGTTACACCGAGCACACTGGGTTGTCGAGTCCTCCTGGTCCTTGAAACAACTCCTGTAGGGTTCGTTTAACCAAACTTTGTTCAAATCCGTCTCCCTGTATTCCTCGTACGGGTCGGTAATTACATCATCTATGTCAAGCTCTTCAACAAATTCAGCTTTAATTAGTTCCTCGCAAGTACATAGGAGGGCTTCAACCTGTTGCAGTGCATCAGCTCGAGATAAACTCGGGAAAATCACAGTTTTCTCGTTCAGCTGATGCGAGAAAAATGCGGGACAAGCGTACAGTTGAGGGAAACTCAGGGCAGCGATTAGCGAGTTGGTTCCGAATTCTCCGTCCTGGCAAATTATCCTTGTATCATTATACAACTCGGTTTTATCGAGTCGGATAAATTCATTCTGTAAACTTTGACGATGATTATTGCACGCATGTAGACGAACTTCATCCGAATCCATTTTTGCTCTGAAAAAATATGATTTACATAAGTTCAATTGAAATATATTTCTACATTGTTTTGATTTATTTCAAAAATAACTTATGCAACGCGGCAAGCGTACACGAAAACCCGGGAAAATTAAATCACAATAATGTAGAATAAGGTAGTGTATTTTTCGACCTACACATATCCGCTATACTCCACTTCTGACCTACGCCAAATCCCCTATACAACACATCCGACCTACTAGCACGTGGTTTTACAGCTGCGATATGGACATGTGGCCGCAGCGCCCGGCCCCCTAGCCTGTCCTAGCCGCGGCGCTCGGCCCCCTAGCCGCAGCGCTCGGCCCAGAAATTGTCTTAACCTAACCCTCACATAATACAAAAATAAACAGCTGGCGTAGGTCCGATATTGCAGTAGGTCGGAAAGTTAGTAGGTCGGAAGTTCAGTAGGGGGGATATTGCGTATAGACGATGTAACATTACCGTAGATTAAATCAAGAGAAAAAATTATGCAACGTGTCGGTACAAAAAAAATTTATTCAGTAAGAAAGAACAATTTTGTCAAATATCAAATAAAGCTTTTGTATTTAAAATACTGTTTATGATCACACAGAAGAAACTATCCTGACAAAAGTACTGACATTAGGCGAGTTGAGTATACATAATAATACCACGTTTAGTAATACAACTTTAAATATCTTCTTTACTTTATTTTTAAGAATGTATTTTCTGTGAAGTATTCTATTGGTTTTATGTTAGAGTGGATTCTCTTGTATATGTTTATTCGGTGACAGAGTTGAGTCCTAACCCTTCTCCGATATCGGAGTCAAGAACTTGAAATACTCCGGCCACCTCCTTCACAGCTACCTTCTTCTTCTTGTTCTTGTCCTTCTCCCCCCAGGTCAGATCAGATCTGTCCAGCAGCTTGTTCAGGTCAGAGTCAGACAAAACCTTGGAAAAAAAATATCTTGACTCAGATTATCCTTTAATTTCGCGACATTAAATGAGCCGAAAAAAGTAGTTTTTGTAGAAACCTTTTTGAAACTAATTTATCAGAATTGGGGTAAATTATGTTTCTTAGGAGAAAATAAAAATGCCTCTAGATTTTTCATCTTTCCCCAAATCTTATAAAACAATTTTTACCCCCTGTAAAAAACTAATTTATAACAGCCTTCACTTTATCTTTAATACATGCAAACAATGTGAACAGTTTCCTAAGTTTTTTTTTTCATGCACTTGCCGAAAATCTATAAAATTTTGAATTTCAATGACAACAAGTGAAATGGAAATGTTAAAGAAGTTATCTAACTTGTCGGTGTAAATAAACAGAATGGGGGGGGTTCTTACTGCAATGCTTCTTTGTTTAATAGCATGTTAATAGCATGTTAATAGCATGTTAATAGCATGTTAATAGCATGTCCAGTGCTTCATGGGTCATGTCACTATGTGATGATGAACTTACTTTCCCCTCCTGGCATGTCACAGCACCGACATGATCCTTGCTGTGGAGAAGCTGGAGCAGCTCCTCGGCGTCTATCTTGCCAGCTTCAGGGACATCATGGAGCTTGTTAAACTTGTCCCTGGATCAGATCAAATATTAAATCAGAATAAGAATCAAAACAATAATGAAATATCAAGATTATGAAGATGACTTTTTGTGTAGAAACGGTTTATCTGCGTGAAATTTCACCAAAGGGATTTATCTTTATTTGGTTTTGTTTCTTTTTTTAGGTGTTGTGGTTGAACATAAATTAGAATAAAGAAAAACCTTTCCCCGACTCACTTTTTTCTTGCCAAATCTTCTGCATAAAAATATTCAGAATTATGTATTTAAAACACATATTTAGTCGAGTGTTTTTAATAAACCTAATAAACCAATTTACTTACTTGTGAATAACAAGTTTCTCAATTTTCCTCTTGGCTGCAGCTCGAAGTACAATCTTCTCATCAATAGTTCCCTTAGTAACCATCCTGCAGATAGAATACTTTAGATTAGATAAAGTAGTAATCTCCGTTTGTGTGTGTGTGTGTGTGTGTGTTTGTATGTCCGATCATGAATTGTGAACGCATTGACCGATTCGCTTCAAATTTTGTTTGGGGAACCCGGTAGAACCACGAAAATGTTCTTATCCTGGTTTAAAAATATCAAGATAAGTGGGTTGGGTAATAAAGATTTCTCCATGACGCTTCCCGCCCCCTGGACTACCCTTTTAAGTCACCTGGGGCAGTACAAATTTAATAGTTCATGTGCTTAACAAGATATTAAACAATAATAAATCACTTGAGAATTTTTATGGCAATAGGATATTTCGTCCAAAAATAAAGATTAGGCAGGTTATGAATTGTAACCGCAAGCGTTCTACGTGTCCAAAAAATCATGAACCAATAACCTGATCGGGTGTCACAAAAATAATTCTCCATAAATACCAAGAATATTTTTCGGACAAGATAAGAGCAAAGACAGGATGAGAAGAATGATAATAAGTTGAACTAACAACGTATATTTATTCTATTTCTAAAACTGTCGATGTGATTTACTAATACCTGTAGACCATAACAGGTTTAGATTGACCGATCCTGTGACATCTGTCCTGGGCTTGCAGATCCTGCTGGGGGTTCCAGTCACTATATAAATCAATCAATAAATCGGTAAAATAATCAATCGGTAAATAATTCAGTCGGTAACTCAATCAATCGGTAAATCAACGGTAAATCAATCAATCAGTAAATTAATCAGTCGGTAAATCAATCAATCGGTAAATAAATCAATCGATTAATCAATCAGTCGGTAAATCAATCAGTCGGTAAATCAATTAGTCGGTAAATCAACTAGTCGGTAAATCAATCAATCGGTAAATCAATCAATCGGTAAATTAGTCAATCGATAAATCAATCAGTCGGTAAATCAATCAATCGATAAATCAATCAATCGGTAATTCAATAAATCGGTAAATCAATAAACGGTAAATTAATCAGTCGGTAAGTTAATCAATCGGTAAATCATTCAGTCGGTAATCATTCAGTCGGTAAATCAATCAATCGGTAAATCAATCAATCAGTAAGTCAATTTATGATTAAATCAATCAAAAAATCGATAAACAATCAATTAACAAGACAATAAAAAAATAGTGTAAAAACCTGCCAACAACAATTATACAAAAGAACTATTGATCCAGTCAGTCAGCGCATGATTCAATTTATAAAATGATAAGTCAATCAATCAACCAAAAAAAATCAACCAATCAATCAATTAATATAACAACGAATCAATCAATCAATGAAAAATAAAAAGCTTTAACCAAAAAAATAAATAATTAAACCCAATCAATTATTTCTGGTTTGTTTAACTTTTTAAATTTAAACCAAACAAAAAAGTATTTTTTAAATAGGTTCGGTTCTACCTATCGTAGATGATGCAGGTGTCAGCAGCCGTCAGATTAATTCCCAGTCCACCAGCTCTGAGAAAGCATTCAGATTAAAGTACAGCTTTTATTTTTTGATAATTATGAATTTGTTCGAATTAGGTCAAAAAAAAGAGTTTTTACACGACTCTGCAAATTTTTATTGCAAAAACCAGTTATTTGTTTCTGGTAAAATAATTAGCGAAACTTTTCTTTATTCAGTGTATAAGGCGGATATTTTTATACCTCTATAGATATATATTTTGAAGATTTATTTTCGGTCATTAGGGGGGAGGGGGTATTTTTCTGCCTGCTAACTTTAATTCAGTTAGAAAATTTGAAACTTTTAAATAGCTCTTTACTTTTTATCATTGGTCTCACTATTACACAAAAAACTTGCCATTTTCTAATTTAAATAAAAGTATCTTAAATATTTAATTTAGTTTAACAAAGTTACCTGGTTGAGAGTAGAAATATGGGGATCTTGGGATCATGGTTGAATCTAAAAATATTTTATTATTATTATTTCTAAAATATTTCATTATTATTATTTCTAAAAACTTTTTCCAAAATTGACACCACACCCTTTACTTAATTTTATGAGAAAGATAATGAAAAATTCACGTTTTTCCTAAAAATCTCAAAAGCTGAAATTCAGTTAGAAAGGAACTGTGGAACGAAACAAGTGACCTTAAAACAGTTAAATGCCCATTAACCCTTTGGGGAGATAAATTCTGTCAATTTTCTTCCATGTCTAATTTCCATGATGTATATAATCCGCAAGTCACTTTTCTGAAGAATCCGCAACTGAAAAGTATTAATAAATACCAATAAAATGTTTGATGGGTACCGTCGGGAATCGGGTTTAACCTGACCTCTATGTCTAAACCCCACCTGTCAATATTATCCTGTCTATCCACAAATGACATGGATCCATCAAGACGAGAAAAGGATAGGTTTCTGAATCCCAAATATTCTCCTACCTGTCAATATTATCCTGTCTGTCCACAAATGACATGGATCCATCAAGACGAGAGAAGGACAGGTTTCTAAATCCCAAATAATCTCCCAGAATATCCAGCATTCGTGTCATCTACAACAAGATACAAAAATTAGAAAAATCAAGAATTAAAAAATGGCAATTAATCCAGTTTTAGTTAGTATTCATTTTCTTGGATTTTTAATAGGAATAAAATTCTGAATCAGTTTTGAACAACAATATTATTATGTTTTGGCAAAAATGACCTGAACCCTCCTTTACTTATGACAAAAATGTAAATGTGGTGAAACTAGCTGACAGACAGTGAAGTGACCACCTTAGCACAGTGTCAACCATTTCACAGAAATAGAAACCAAGGAACATGAGCAGTAGATTGGTCTGATTTAATGAATCTAGAGAGGGGATTGAACCAGGTATTGCAGGTTGGACTACAATTTCTAGTGCAGGGGTGTATATTTTCTTGAAAAATCTCTCCCCCTTTAAATTTTTTTTGGTATTTTTTTATGGGTTTATTGGCTGAATCGGAAAAAATAACCAAATTTTTGGATAAAAAGTATGAAAAACTTGCCTTTTCATGTCCAATTTTTCCCACAGATCTCCAAAAATTATTAAAACATATAAACCTTTGTCTAAATGCACTCTTAGCTTCACCAGAGAAGTAATTCAACTAACTGTAAATAGTTCAACTAGCTTTTAAATTAGTTCAACTAGTTTTTAAACTAGTTCAACTAGTTTTTAAGCTAGTTAAACTAACTGTAAATAGTTCAACAAGTTTTTAAACTAGTTCAACTAGTTTTTACCATGCATTAATTCCGAACTCTGACCAACTCATTAAATGTGGTTTGTCCAATTCTCAAGTTTATTAATATTTAACTCAAAACCTGTAGAAAATATAAACCCACCTGACTGAAGAGTAATATCTTGTGTCCGCGTGCCATCAGCTCAGTCAACATCTGATCCAAAACTTTCAGTTTACCGCAGATATCAACTATATCATTATCAACCCTAAATATCAACCTTTAGTACCACAGATATTAACTATATCATTATCAACCCTAAACATCAACCTTTAGTTTACCACAGATATCTACTAGTCAATGTTTATATGGGGAAGTTTTACATCAATAGGTTGCTAAGATATAAGGACTAGAAAGTTAAAGATTGAGTAATTCGCCAAAAAATATCCAAAACTCTTAAGGATTCCTAAAAAAATTTGAAAAAACCTATTTTGTGTAGAATAACTGTCAACGACGTTTAAAACATTTTAAAAACCCTTAAAATTTCTTAAAGGGGGGGGGCAATTTTATGACAAATTGTTTAGTGTCAAAATAATGACTAACTCCTACTTGTAATAGACTCCGTCCTCTGAGATTGGATAGTTGATGAGATATGGATGGTTGACAGCCTTCCTCATATCCATCATCCTATTCTTGATGGAGAAGTTGATCTCTTTCGTCTCGTCAAGTTTCATCACCTAAAATCAGAGAGATTGTAGAAAGAGCAGGTTTAATTTATTAGATAAAATTACTTGAAAAAAAATAATTTATTTATGAATTGTCCTGTCAATGAAATGGGATGGAATCATTTTCAAAGTTCAGTTATTTAAATTTATTATGACATAATTTTTAATAAAACCCTCATCTAGAAGATATAATCCAATTTGTTTAGCAGGAGATTCTAGAAGAAAGTTTTAGAGCTACTGTAGGTATGATGCATGACGTCTTGTAGTCTTATTATGTATAAAAAAATGTTCTTAAAAAATCTAAAAAATTCAAGGTGATATATGATAGCGTCAAATATACAAATATAAAAATCTAATATGAAAAATAAGAAAAAAATGCTTACATATGCAGTGGCAGCGGCCGGCATGCCTTTATTTACAACGCTACTGAGCTTTCGGACCGAGTCCTCAAACCTATCATCATTCTTGTATTCAGTTTCTGTATCAAATATTGAATAGTCAATACTATCCTTTCTTCTCTTACCCCGACCTAAAATTAACAGAGAAATATTTTTAGGACGTTTCGAACAAATATGAGGTTTTAAAATCTGAATGTGTAAAAACAAACAATTTCAAATGAAAAACAAACGATTTCTTTTTTTTAAATGAGGGGAGCATTATTTATATTAAAAAGTCTGGTTATTTATTCTTAATCTTCAATCTCATTTCCGGTTCACAACGGTACCCTTTCAACCTTTTTATGAACAACACGAGAGAGCTCTAATCATTTTTCTTTTTAAAAAATCCTTCTTTTTTCTAAATCTGCGAGTCGCTCTTAAAGAAAACCGCAGTTAAAAATAATAAATTTTTATAATATAGGAAAACAAGGTTAACTTTGATTTAAAAAAAAAAAGTTTGAAGGAGACCATTGTGAATCCGACATGCATTTCTTTTTTAAATTAGGTCGACGGACTCTTTAAACTGACTATTTGAACGCTATTAATATACGGAAAAAGTGTCAACCTTGAGTTTCAAGATCGATCTCCTCCTTAGGTCCAAGCAGGTCTCCGATGGTCTTCTCTACCACAGCCTGGTACATCTCCTTCTGTCGGGGGGTCAGGGGACAGTACACCAACACCTCCTAAATATTAAACCGATCAGGAATTGGGTATGATTGAATCAGAACAATCTTCAAATTGAAGCTTAGGAAATGAACTTGTTTGTAAATACAATTGTTAATATCAGAGCTTCAGATCCATTTCAACTTTAAGCGGATCCTGGATTCGCTCTGAAATGGATACCACGGATCCTGGATCAGCCCTGAAATGGATCCGGATCCAGGCCCTGAACATTTCTTAAGAATTTGCTCACCTTCTTAGGTGGTATCTCAAGACCTACATCCGTCTTGACCCTCCTCCTCAGGAAGGGTAGAAGGATCTGATGAAGCATGTTGACCACACTGTTCTTCTGCTCCTGGGCCAGGATCTTGGAGTTTGTGTTCTCCTCGTCCTCATGGATCTCCTTGGCGTCGAACCAGGACTCGAACACCTAGTTCAACAAACTATTGTTCAGGGGTATATATTTTCTTTAAAAATCATCAACCCCCCTCCTCTAGAAGTGAGGTATGTATGAGCCAAAAAAATTTTTTTTTAGATTAATGATATTATATGTAAGGGTAAGGCAGATTAAAAGTAGTCTTGATTGTTAGGTTGATAGGACAGGAGAGGTTATGGCTGCAGTTATTACTGTATATTCGTCAGGGAAGCCGATTGACTTATTTTATGTTATCAAAGAGCCTAAGTTCGACGAGACAATCAATTCTTATTTAAGCAGTAATGGATGCTCAGCATCATATGTCTCTGTGTCAAAGGACCCAACCAAATCCAAGTTTAAGATTGCACACATGGTTTCAAATCTGGCGACGGAACTCCCAAATCTGCAGAAACCAAGTCGTCCGATCGGCCTGATCGACCTCCTTCAAGAAATGATGAACCGAGATTACATAAGTACGGTCTGTTTGACGCCGGAAGATCGGAGGAAGCTAAAGAGAAAGCAATCTACAGCTATATCACCGGATACTACAACGGTGCCAGGTCCAGCTTCCCCAATGTTTGACAGTTCTTTTGATGATGATGCTTTGATGGAGATTTCGCGAATGGAGGCGTCAAGAAATGAGATAGACCAGTCTTTGCTTAATTTTCCGGTCCTGGATGCAATCCAAAAACTATCAGACAAGATGGATGCACAGATGAACATCACCAGGGAGCTGGTAAAGGACATCACGGGGATTAAGGAGGAGATACAGGAAATCAGAAGGATTCAGGGCCAGCAAGCTGAAGTTACTAATAAGATTAGAGCTTCAGATCTTAAAGAAAGGTTATGTGTGTATTGTGCTACAGGAAATCACTCTGAAGACAAGTGTATTTGGAGCCTGCTCAGATGCAGTGAATGCCAGGCGATAGGCCATAATCCATGGTTACATAAGGCGACGGATAAGGATCTGAAGTTAAGAATTCTGGCGACTTATGGAGCAAATTTTTCTTTCACTATATAAATAATGTGAAATAAATTTTTCTTTCACTATATAAATAATGTGAAATAAATGAAGTTTTATTCGAAAAGAAAGCATGATTTTTGTTTATTCGGATGGAAATGAGTATTTTTTGTACTAATTAGGAGTAATATTTTATTAAAGTTTATAATTAGTTGCGGGATAAAAGTATATAATAGGGTAATGAATAAAGTGGAGAGTAGGGCTAAGCCTTTAAAATTATGACAAAATTAGTATGTAAATGATAAGATTAACTGATTTTTATTTGTCATTATTTGCCTGAAGGCAGACAGGAGTATTATATTGGATAATTAGTCGCGGGATAAAATTCGATAGTGGTATGTAAAAGATAAGATTAACTGATTTTTATTTGTCGTTATTTGCCTGAAGGAAGACAGGAGTATTATATTGGATAATTAGTCGCGGGATAAAATTAGATAGTGGATAATTAGTCGCGGGATAAAATTAGATAGTGGGTAATTAGTAAAGTGGAAAAATATTGCTAAGCCTAAAAAGTTATTTCAAAAATTAGTTAGTTTCCACTATGGCGTCTTAGAAGGTCAGGCTTAGAGCAAAACTAGTTCATTAAGGTTAACTTTAACCTATTAATTTATTTTCAGATATAAAAACAAGATTGTGCTTACAATTAAATATGGGTAAGCCAAGCAGCAAGGCCAGAGCGATTAAACACAGGATGATGAAGAGATTAATAAAGTCAGGGTCTAATGCTAACTTACTTAAATGTGTGTACTGGAACGCTAATGGAATGCATTGTTTGTGTAAACAGCAAGAGGTTATTGATTTAATGGAAAATGAGTCAGTGGATTTGCTAATGGTTGATGAAACGCATTTTAAAAAGGATTCAAACATTGATTTAACAGCCTTCTCAAATTACTCACCAATCTTTATAGAACGGGATTTTGGGGTAAAGCAAGGAGGGGGGAAAATGATTTTATGTTCGGACCGAATTAAGGCCACTAAATGGACCCCACCTATGGAAAATAATGAATGGATAAATAGCGAAAGGATATGGATCTTAATACATAATAATAGATGTAGAATTGCTATATGCTCAGTGTATATGGCCTGCGAGTCGATTATAAGTAATGATTTTAAAGAATGGAATGATCAAATTTATGCTGCAATTAGTAAAGAAGTTAATATATTAAAATCTGATGGTTATAAATGTGCAGTTATAGGGGACTTAAATGCTCATGTTGGGGTACCACCCAGGGGAATTGAAGGTAACCGGCCAGGGGTTAATCATAATGGCAAAAAATTACTGTCTTTCATTGAAGAGAATGAGTTAATTATGATTAATAAACACAAGGACTTATGTAATGGTACATTCACTAGAATCACCCCACACTCCAGTGCCATACTTGATTATGTCCTGGTAACTCAAAATATGATGAATGATGTCTTAAGAATGGGAATTGATACCGACATCGAGATATTGGCAGGGAGTGATCATGTTGCGATTAGGTTGGATATAAACCTAGTAGGAGGCCTAGGTAAAACGCCCGAACCAAAGAAGTATAGTATATCTTTATCAGAGAAAAGGGATATGAAATTAGCAATGAATGCCATGGATATTATGATTGATGAGGTAAATTGGGATAATTTAACACTAAATGAGGCGGGAAATAAACTGCAACAAATTCTAATTGCTTCTAATGTTAATTCATATAATACTGCGCCAGTTTTAAAACGAAAACCCAGAAATGTATTTAAATTGAAACGGCTTAAAAGGCAAAGAAAAGAGTTAGAGAAAAAAGAAAAGGGTCTTTCACTTATAAAGATTAAACGGGCAATTAATAATGAAGAGTGGACTGTGGAGGATCAAGAGGGCTTAAATGCAGCTGTTAAGGAATCTCGTGCAGTATCAGAAGCAATTAGCAATCGTTCATTTGAGCTTAAGGCAAAAAATACACAAAAATTAAGGTTACAAGATGAAGTTAAAAATGAATTTTTTTGGAGCTTGGTCAAAAAAACGGAGAAAAAAAAGGGGGGATTAACTTCTTTAAAGGGTCCAGACGGTAAAGTGGAAACTGAACGGGAAAAAGTGGCAGATCTTGCTATAACAGGGTTGGCAAATATATTTAATGGTAAAAGTCCAATTTTTGAGTCCCATGGAGAACAAATAATTAAAGAAATTACGGTTAAGAACAGTTTTAATTATGAGAAATGGACTCCAAAAATAAATGATGAATTTAAACATGAGGATGAAGTTTGTGCTCCGTGTTCTATTGAGGAAGTTGAAAAGGTAATAAAAGGGTTGAAAATTAAAAGGGCCCCAGGGGTAGACGGAGTTTTAACAACAATGTTAAGGAATGCCAGTGATAAATTCATTTGCCACTTTACCGGGTTAATTAACAACTGTTTCAGAGATGGTGATATACCTCAAGTTTTCAATACAGGGAAAATGACTTTAATAGATAAGAAAGAACCATCCCTTGAGATTACAAAAAAACGTCCTTTAACAGTTTCAAGTGTAATGCTGTGCGTTATAACAAAAATAATACATGCTAGAATGAATATAATTTGTGAACGGGAAGGTTTATATGGTATAATTCAATTTGGGTTTCGTAAACAAAGATCAACTACTGATTGTGTTTTCATAATATTATCCGCTATAAAAACAGCCAGAAGAAAACATAAAACGATATCAATTGCTTTCTGTGATATTGCAAAGGCATATGATTCAGTTTGCCGGGAGTTATTGTACACTAAGTTACGCTATTTAGGCTTTGGCGGAAGAGTGGTTTCTATAATTAGAAGCATGTATTACAATGATTCAGTTCGAATAAGCCTGGAGTCAGGAGTATCGGAACCACTCTACTTCACACAAGGGGTAAAACAGGGGTGTAGTTTATCCCCCCTACTATTTTCTCTATACATAGCACAATTAGGAACAGCTTTACATAGGTCCAAGTTAGGGATAAACATAGGCGCAGAATTGATAACAGCTCTCTTTTTCGCGGACGACCTGGTACTAATCTCTGGAACACCAAGAACAGGGATGATAAAACTGCTAAAATTAGTGAATAATTTTTGCGAGGATAATAAATTGAGCTTAGCAACAAGTAAAACTTATATCATTTCGAATGCGTCATACAATATAAGCTGGCCTATCAATGAAGAAACAATTGAAGAAGTTTTAGTGGCTAAATACTTAGGAGTTAATATTCAAGTAAGAGGTCGATCAATGGTCGGCCAGTATGAAGAACTAATGATAAACAGAGCTACAAGTTACGCTTATTCAATAATGAACCTGACCAGGGGGGGCCTAGATAGAGCCCTTATAGCTAAAAGAATTTGGGAAACATGTGCCATCCCAGCTATTTTGTACTGTGTTGAAGCTATTACAATTAAGAAAAGTACAGTAAGGGAACTTGAAAGGATACAAAATATGGTAGGAAGGTTTATATTACAAGTTCCCCCTTCAACTTCAAGAGCACTAGCCTGGATGGATGCAGGATTAATGCCTATGCAGTATAGAATTTATTTAAGGCAGTCCGGGTTTATATTTGATATATTTAAAACAAAAAATAATCCCACACTGTTAAAAATATTAAGGGAGCAACTGGATAACCCGTCGGACCCATGGACTAAATCATGGAGGAAAATTGAAGCAATGGTGGGTAATATCTTCAAGTATAAGACGAAAAAGCTCCTACTAACCGCTGTTACACGAAAAGCAGTAGCATATGTAATGAATGTAAAAAGGCAACATTTAACCTTAATTACAACCCCCCAACCCTGGAATTGGTTTAAAATACAAAGCCATGTTAATGATACTAAATCAAGTAAAATTTTATGCCAAGTAAGAGGGGGTAATGCTCAGATGGGCAATAGGTATAAAAACCGTTATGGATTTATTTATGATGTTTGCCCCCACTGCGAGTTATTAGGCCTCAATATTAAATTAACGGAATCTCATGTTATATTTGAGTGTCCAATAGTAGCCAAGCTCAGAAGAGATTTATACATTTCAAATTTTATGTCTGAGTTTAAAGCAAAAGGCCCCATAGCTAATGTCCGGGTTTTAAGAGCTTATCTTGGCGGAGATGGTTCAGCAGGACAAACCGTATGGTAAGAGGTAGGAAGCTGGGTAAAATGATTGAATCATGGCTCACAGCAGTCCATGAACCACTTTAGTAACAAACATTCCACGCCATATTTACTGTTTTTAACGCTAGTTCTTAAACTAATAAGTTAAAAAGTATATTTAAAGTGTTCCAGTATTACTGACTGTATTCAATTAACTCATTGGCAAAATGGAATGAAGGCACCTGACGAATTGAAATGACGATCACGGCAATCCCAGTAAGAACATTCAAATTTGCAGGTACAATAAATTAAAAAGTTTTATTTACCAGTTCATTACTGAACTTTCCCTGGTCAGGATTACTTAAACCAACCAATGAACCAATCAATGGAAGTGTGTACCATATCCTGTAAGTGCTTACAAAGCACCCTCTTTATTTCTCCCCTAGTATCCACGCTTATCTGGAATACACACTGAATCCTAAAAATTCAGGCCAGATCTGAACCACTAGATCCCATATAGACCAGGGAAAGTGGCGGAGCTCAACCCTATCTTCAATGTGTTCCAGCCTACAGGTCGTAATACGTTGTCTGTAGGTTGATTGTTAATAATAATAATAATATCAAATAGGGTAAAAAAAGTTAAATTTTCTATTTTATTAAATACATAGGTTTAAGGTTTTTCCTTTTTTGGAGCCTTAATAACATTCTTTTAACTTACCTCTACATTATCAAATATTTCCGGTAGTACGAAGTTGAGAAGGGAAAACAGTTCACGTAGATTATTCTGTAGAGGGGTTCCGGTCAACAGCAATCTAGATAGATAGATGAATAGAAGTATAGATAGAGATAGATGGATAGATCGAGATAAATAGAAAGATAGATAGATGAACGTACCCTGTACGCTATACCCTGTACACTGCACGCTGTACGCTGTACACTGTACGCTTTACGCTGTACGCTTTACGCTGTACGCTGTACGCTTTACGCTGTACGCTGTACGCTGCACGCTGTACGCTGTACGCTGTACGCTGTACGCTGTACAAAACAATGTACCTGTGATCACTATTATACTTCTTGAGTTCTCTGACCAGCCTGCAATCTATATTCTTCAACCTGTGCCCCTCGTCAACACATAGGTATTTCCAACTAAAATAAATCAAATCAGAGGCCGAATTTAAATTCAAATTTGAGACGCGGCTCAAACATAAGTTGGTTCCACTGGAAATTGTATTCAGTGTTTCGAGATTTGAGCCGGTGCTCAATTGGAACCGGTTTTTGGCAGCTTTCAGCGACACGGCTGAATTGTTTAATCTTAGATCAGATCAGAGATCAGACCAGATCAATAATCAAATCAATAAACCCACCCAAAAAAACAACAATAAATCCCACTTTAAAACCCCACCAATAAGTGGACTTTTTTGGGGTTTTATTGAGGTTTTTTAGAATTGTTCTAAATATTGTCCTTTATCACTCTTGTAATGATAAACTCTTCAAAAAAAAAGGTCTACTGTCAACTATATGCATTTTTAGTGAGTTTACATCACTAAAACTGACATTTATTCTTTTCTCATGAGCTTTTAAAATATGTTTCGATTCATCATTCTTATGTGTGAGTGATCTGAAGTTATTCGGTATTTAACAGTATATATATTAGTTACTATCTGTTTACGTTATGAATCCCTATCTGTCACCATGCCCAACCTTCGATTCATGCTGCACTGATTTTCTCTTTAGTTCTTTTTGTGCATGTCTTTTTTTAAATGCTATAATTCAATTAAAGAATTTGGTTAACAGGGGGCCCAGCTAAAACAGCCCCAGGCTATTGAGTCCGCCTGCTGCGGAAAATAATATTTTACATATTGTGATTTTTTAAAATTAATTCGTAAATATTGTTTTTTTTTCTGCAGAAATAAATGATTTGATTTGAACAGTGGTTTTCCTTCTTGAGCATATAAATATCTAGCGACTAATCTGAGTAGCCTCACCCCAAACAGGTATCCAAATGAGAAAATAGAATTAGTCTGAAATTCATAGAACTAAATAATATAAAAAATTGCAGTATTCCCCCTATGAAGAAGTGAGGTGATATTATTGTATTTGAAGAGTATTTATTATGATTACAGCCTATTATGCCTATTAAATAATAATATCCTAACAATATTATTATTTTTCATAACTATTAAGTTCACCTACCTATTGCTTAAATAGTTTTATTATTATGAATTAGTATGAATTTTAGTAGGCTTCAACTTCTAACAAATTGAAAAACCCCCCAAAAAAACCAACAACAAAAAAAACAAGAAACCTCCCCCCCCCCAAAAAAAAATACAATAAAACCCTCTGGGCTTGTTTTTTTTCAAAACCCGGATATTTTCTAACCCTGTTTAATAGCTTAGCTTAAAATTGCTAAAGATTAAGCGATCTTTCTTAGTGATCTTCTAATTTGTACAGCAAACCTTGAAGAAACTAGGACACAGCGATCGTTCATAACGATTTTTGAGCTTTAGTTACTAACCTTATAGGAGCTAGGACCGCGCGATCGTTCATAGCTATTTCGTAGCTAGTCACAATAACATTGAACATCAACCCGTCAACTTCCTGGACAAATAGTTTTTGATTATATTTTGTCAATATTTCGTCAGTTTAATGTTTTAATTTCACAAACTTTAGGAATAAAAATATCTTACATCACACGTCACAGTTTCTCCCATCCTAGCTCTCAGCTCCATCCTCTCCTACGACGAACCAAAAAAATAAGCTACAGGAAGACCAATAAAACTCTGGAATTGGAAGACGACCTTTTAACGATTTTTGATGTATTTGTTGGTGTTATGCAGTAAGTAGTTTCACTTGTGGCACAATATAAGTGAAATTGGCCTGTGTTTAACGTTCATAAAACTATTTAAAATAATAATTTAAGTATAAAAGTTGTCTTTATATTCTACAACTTTTTGGGTCTCGCTATTATACAAAATAATTCAAGAAAAGGGAGGATCAAGAAAGGAGGGAAGAAGAGAAGTTAGGTCGAAATACCTCTTTAGATCCGTGATACAGCATACAAGGGATCTTTGGAGCAAACCTGAAATTTAAATATTATTAACAAAAATTTCTCATTATGATATCTTCCTCATCCTTTCTCAGATAAGGTTATAAAAGTTAACATTGGTTGCAAGTCTAAAAATAGGTGTAACTTGAAATTACGTACACAATTCCTTTAAGCACCAAACAAACTAAGTTTACTTTAACTCAGAAAATCTGTTGCCGTCAAATGTTCTAATTTGTCGACATTAACCCACCTTTTGAACTCGTTGACCCAGTTAGGAACTGTGGAGAGCGGCGCCACTACGAGGAAGGGTCCCCCGACCCCCATCTCGTAGAGGTAGCAGAACAAGGCGATACACTGGATAGTTTTACCCAAACCCATCTCATCAGCTAGGATACCGTTTATACCGTTCTCGTAGAGTTTAGCCAACCATAGATATCCTTCAAGCTGGTAGTTTCGCATTATACCTCAATTATAAACTTGATTAATAAGTAATTTTAATTTTCTTTTTAGTACTAAAAGTAAGGATTACTGTTAAAACTCCATAAAGGGGGAGTGAGACACGGACTCTTGGGAAACTAGAAGAAGTGTAAGAAAATAAATTTTTTGGATTATACTCAATACTATATTAAATGCATGGTTTTGAAAAGATTTGCGCGAGTAACTTATAATTTTAAAATTTACTCATAAAAAAAAAATAATAAACTGTGAAATACGCCCCCCCCCCTTTCCTTCCCCAGATTTCCTTTTTGATAAACTCAACCCCCTTATATTTTCAAAAAGTGTTGAGAATCAAATGAAAAAAATGATCGGGGGTTGGGGGAGGGACCCATTTTAGATGCTCTGGGGAAAAATGAAATATTGGTCATCAAACGGTTGTTTCTACATCTTTAATGATATCATTGATTTCTCCCTAAAAATCATTTATTTCCCTCATTCAACTAATAAAATAAAGCATATCAAAGACAAAACTTATTCTCAAAAATTCGGGGGGGNGATTTCGAAGAAAAAACAGACCCCTAGAAAAATCTACATAATATTTTTCTCCAATATCATTACGCCTGTAAAAACTCATCATACTCATCCCAAATCCATCAAAGTTGATATTTTATTAAAATAAACACCTAAATCGAAATTTTTGAAAAGAAAATTATCGTTTAAAAAGGAGCCCAGCTACCTCCAGAGAGAAGAAGAGGTTGATCCTCTGATATATGTTGTCCGTCCCAGTTTCTCTCCTGTACTAGCTTCACTTTCTTACTGAAATTATATATATGTAATGATATTTCTTCTAGTACAGAACAATAATATTGGATTAATTTTTTTCTTAAAGGGGGCTGAAGACTAAGGGGTACACCAATCAGAGAACCAGAGACAGGATCCAGAGCGAGAAGAGGGGGAGGGAGGAGGAGGATACAATAAGAATGGAGGAGCAGAACCCTACCAAGAACGGGAGACACTAAGTATTCTCTATCTTAATGCCCAAAGTATAATTAGTAAACTAAATGAACTTCAAGTTGTTAGTAAGGACCTGAATCCATCTATTATATTAGTTACTGAATCCTGGTGTAATAACTCTATATGTGACTCAACTATCTCTATTCAAGGCTATGATATAANGAGAACCACAAGACAATCAGATGACAGAACCAGGCTGACTAAACAGAGAAGCAACACCACCATCAGAAGTAACTTCTTTACCCAAAGAGTCATTGATGATTGGAACCAGTTACCCAGCACAATTAGAGAGTCTCAAAATATCAAGATATTTAAAAGAAATCTAGACCAATATTTATCTTCTTCTGAGATGAACTGATGAACTGAGAATATGACAGGATCTCCAGAGGAAGACTGTGTGGAAAAGATGTTGCTAAATGCCCCAAGCGGGGGCTACATCAACTACTCTCCAAGTATACAAGTATACTTAATTTCAAGTCACCATCTATTTATAGAATGGCATGTCCGATTTACAACCGTACCCTTTAATCCTGTATCTGAGAATAAGTATCACTTAATATTATGTCTTCAGTAGGCCAAAATACCGTCTTACGCACTACGGAATACTCACAAATTCTTTGTATCTCATTATTTTATTACTCTTCAAAATTGATGATTCATTTTTAAAACATTTCTGCTATGTCTCAAAACTCTCGACTAACTGGAGATTTTTCGTAAAAGCATTCCAACATGGGTATACAAGATCCGTCATAGAATAACGATTTCCGAAATATTGAAATAATAGGAATTCGAGGATAATAAAAGTAAAACATTGGCCTTTTCTTCTATATAAGAAAACATTCATATATATATATATATATATGCTGCATATCGCCGACCAAACTGCTGGACCAATTGGGCTGAAATTTTTTGTGGACACTTAGGGGAGCCCAAGGCGGGTTATCGGCTAAAAAATTCGAATTAAAAAAAAAATTCTGTAATTTTTTTTTTATTTCCACGGGCATCGCCGGGCCCTTCAGCTAGTAATAAATATANGGGGGGGGGGGGAAGGTGCTCTCAATTCAATACTTGTATCCCGTTTCTGGGCCGGATAAATATCTATTAATGAAGAAAAAATTAAATTGTATCAAAATAAAATAGCAACCTTTCAACGTTTCCTTCCTCTTCTGCCAATCTCTTTCCTTTTCCTTTTCCGCTTTCTTCTGCCATTTTGAGTGTATACTTCTTTACACTTTTCTTTCCCTAGAATATACATTACTTTTAAGGAAAATATCTTAGACAAAAATATATTTACTGTCCCCTTGACAGTTAATATATTTTTGTCTAAGATATTTGCATTTTCATAATTTTTTATTTAATTCTTTATTTCACAAGATTAACTTTCAACAAAATAAATTTAATTCTTATTGGGGGAACGAACGATTATTTACTGGGGAGGATTTTCAACAAAATATATAACCCTGTAGACTTCAGTTTTGTAAATTCAAGAGATTTTGCACAGATTTGAACAGTGTGCGACCTGAGCATTGATTTAATTTTTAAAGATGGACATTTAAATAGATTAGAAGAATAAAATTATAAAATAGATCTTGAAGGATTCAATATAGAACCTAGATCTTGAAGGATTCAATATAGAACCTAGATTTTAAGATGGATTTATTAGTGATTAAAGGGACTCTATCCGTAAATTTAGGTGACCCTCTATACAAAGATGGCAGTGCCCGTTTTAAAACGGTATTATTAAATACTTAATCTGATCAAAAATGTCGAAGATAACGTCATTCATTTTTGATCAAAATCAACAGTTTAAAGTGCTTAGGATCCGGATCTAAGGGGTAAATATCAACCAAAAACTGTGAAAAAAAATTTTAATCCTAAAACCCAAATCTCAACTTTTGAAAAAAGAGAGATTATAAAAATTTCCTTATTTCTGAATGGTTTTAGGATAAAAATAAGCGAAAAAAAAATAAAAAATTTGAAAATTAATTTTTGTTAAAAAAATAAGTAAATATCAAAGAATTGACTTGGATCCGGATCCGTTTTCTTCCAGTGCGGATCCAGGATCCGGCTCCACATCAAAATTAAATGGATCCTACGCACTGGTTTAAAAAACAAAAACATCTATATCTAATTTAAACTTGATCAGATAAAGCTTTCAAGGGTCAAGTTGTAAATCGGGCATTGCCATCTTTGCAAGAGTTACTTGAAATTACGCTTAAAATCCCTTTACCCCTACCACTGGCACAGATTTCCCTTTGGCAGCCATCTTCTTCGCTCTAATCTCTTCTTTCCTTTTCTTTATTTCCGCTGCATCTTCCTTGTCCTTAAACAACAATCGACAAATTTCTACAATGTGACCAACTAAACTGAAAGCCCCCCTACCTTGCTCAATTTTATTTTTGTCCCGTAATAAGAATTATATTGTGCTAGGGCAAAAAGCACATTTCAGGTTTTCCCATGGCAAGCTGTAGTGCTAGAACTTATGATGAACAAATTCATTATTTCGATCAGTATCTTAGAGGGGTTTGAATGAGAGGCAAAAGATAAAAAAAAAAAATTTTAACCTGAATAGCCTATTTTTGGGCCATAATTTTCACAATTATTCAGAGGATTTTGTAGAAAATAGTAGAAACCCAGTCGTAACATTTAACAAACAAATTACCAAATCTGTTTATCATGATTGTAAGAAAATCATAGATGTTAAGAAAGCTCTATCTCTAAATCATGTCATATACAAAAGTCCAGACTTTATTTTTCAATCAGGATTTTTTTAAGAAATACAAACCTCCATTTTCTGTTTAATATACCCGGTGAAGAACTCAGATCTCTTCAAAAGCTCCATCAGCAACTCATACCTAGATACAATGGTATTTTCCCAAAGGGATTTCCCAAAAGGTATTTGACCACAGGCATTTTCCCAATGGCATTGTCCAAAAGGTGACTTGAAAAGGGACAATTTCCCAAAGGATAGATTAGGCCTTCCGAGGCGCGGCAGGCTGCAATGAGGGGGCCGAGCGCTGCGGTTAGGATGGGCCACGGGGGCGAGCTTTGGGGCTAGAACAAGATATGGGGCTGAGCACTGCGGCTAGGACAGACTTCAGAAGTTGTCGCTTGGGAAAGTACCTAACTTCAAATCTCTTCTCTTTAAGGAACTATCGCCATCAAGTCAAGAGACCTGACATTTAAAAAAGAGGGACCTGTCCGTTTCTCATTTGGTAACCTTAGAACCTTTATCAAATCAATTATGTGGAAGACAACGTTGTTTTTCTTTGTTAAAAAATGTTTGATGCTGATACATCTTACATTGTTTTCCGACATTAAAAATGTGTAAGTCAACTTTGAAGTGAAACCACAATTGAAATGATAAACCTGGATATCTAATTCGTTTTTGATCGGACAAAGCTTTTAAGAATGCCGTTGGGAATCGAATATGTTACTCTCTTAATAAAGAGGCATTTGAAAATATGCCTACAGCAGACAAGCTGATTCGTATGTGGTAATTATGGAGGGGGAGATTAGTCATTTTTTATTTACTAAAAAGTTTTTTACTATTCTATCTTACTATTAAAAATTAACTGTTTTGAACGTTGAATTATAATAAGGGAACAAGGGGGTGGGGGCATATTCGGAAAAAGTTTTGCTTAACCGGCTCTATAAAGTATTGGGGATTCTGAATTTATGTATTTTTTTTCCACCAAGCGGCCATTTCACCTATCTGTAGCCTACCCTATACATAAGAAATAAGAAATAATAGTCTATCTACAAGGGAACCGAGCACGAAACCCCCAGATCCCCCCGGACCGCCCAAAGGGTGCAGTGCATCTCATGCGGCCTGGAATCCATCCAGGCTAACAATATTCAACGCCCGTGCATTAGTGATGCGTCCCGGTAGCTGGCGGACGAAATGGCCAGTTGCGTATCCAGCAACTTCCTATAAGTGCATTACCTACCCAATGGATGAAAAAAAAATCCTTTAAATTACTCTGTCTTAAATGTCAACAAATTTCAAAGTGAGCAAATATCAGAAACAAGAAGAGGGAGATTTAACGCCCTCCCCCATCCAGCCTACTTAGGGTTAACAACCTTTGATTTTGAGATAACTCTGACATTGGCTCTCCGTCATGGTTCCTCTGTTTCTCCTTCTTCATATTATCCTGCCTTGCCTTCTCCTCCTCCTATAGTAACAGTTACAGTTAAATCATAGATAGCCTCTTTATTGGAGATTTTTAATGCTCTGGGGTAAAAATGAAAAATTGTACAATATATATTAAGAGTAGGTTTAATCATGTGTTTCACTCAAATTGCACAAATAAACACCCCCCCCCCCCCGACAGTCTGACTTACGGTGAAAAATTTTCTTTCAAAAGGGGAAGGGGGGTGCACTATAGTTAGACAAATGCAAAGAAGTACACCTTTAGAGCTTCAGCTGAAATGATTCCTGACTCCATCATAAGAGTGTTCTCTTCAACTTCTTGATCATCTGAATCATCTTCTTCTTTCACCTTCCTCCCCTGTTGAGATCTGGGCTTATCCTCATCCTCATCTTTTACATCCGCAGGCGGTGCCGATTCCTCCTTGATGTTTTCAACTGCAGGCGGTGCTTCTTCCTTTACAACCGCTTCCTCTTTAACAATTTCAACCGCCGGCGGACTTTCCTTCTTTCCATTTTCTTCGGTCATTTCAAGGTTTTCCGCATTTTCAACTTTGGAACGGGATCTCTTTGGGATAGGTTTCATCTTGGGTTCTGGAGTCGCTACTTTTCCTAGTTTAAAAAGATATTAAAATTCATTTTTAAAGTTCTTTACTTCAAAACTTTTAGTGAAATTATCGCCAAAATTTTAGTATCACATATTAACGGAACAGAGGTATTTTCGGTTTGGGACTGTACTAGTATTCGATTTCAGAACACTAAATAATAATAAATAAATACTAATTTTAATTTCGTCATGTACAAAATTGATAGGAGGGGGGTGCCAAAAATCGTTCACTAGGACAGACCCAATTTCTAAAATACTATTTTGCATGAGACCTTTAAGGGTCTAGATCTTATTTGATAGATTGGCGTCTTCATAATTTCAATTTTTAAAAATATTTTTGTGTACCCAGGGCTTCTGTCTGTTTATTTGTGGACCGCCTTTTTTGTGAGGTGGGCGGGGAAGATTTTATCTCAGCCAGGGCGGATCTAGATCTTCTACTTGGAGCCATTGTGAAGAAACACTGAAATTTTATAAAAATCAATATTACAACGAACGTATCGTAATTAATAAATAAAACACAGCTCTCCATTGACAAGTTAGCTAAAATTATTCAGGCTATGTTCACGTGCACATAGTGAATAACGTAATTGAATGTAGAATGTCTAACATCATACTTATTACTTTTATAAGTTTATTTCGTAATACTTCTGAAAGAATTCTGGCGCTAAAACCGAAAAACCGGTTTTTCTAGGATTTACGTGATTTAATAAAAGATCGCGGCATCAGTACATTTTAAGTCGTCTTCATTCAGAAATTTTGGTTTCGTCTGCTGTTCTCAATTTTCATAGTTGTCTGCTAGTTGTTTACATCATTATTCATTGTAGACTAATTTACGTCCTTGTCTACTAGTTTACGACCTTGTCTTCTAATTTATATCATTTTCTTCTAGATGTTTACATTATTTACTACTATTTTACATCATTGGCTCCTAGTTTACATCATTGTCTCCTAGTTTACATCATTGTCTACTAGTTTACATCATAGTCTATTACTTTACATCATTGTCTACTAGTTTACATCATTGTCTACTTGTTTATATCATTGTCTACAAGTTTACATAATTATCTTCTAGTTTACATCATTGTCTACTAGTTTCCATCATTTTCTACAGGTTTACATCATTGTCTCCTAGTTTTCATCATTGTCTAAAGTTTACATAATTGTCTTCTGTTTACATTGGGTATATTCCTAGAGAACGATTTTAAGTAGAATATATACAGTTCTAATCCATACCTTTCCAATTTGTTTTCAAACAAATTTATTATAATTCTTTTATTCTCAACTTAAAATAATCCCATTCTTGCTCTGATGGCTTACCAGCCATAATCGGTTTTATTACCAATTATGAATATATTTCAGACCTCTATTATCCTCTGGTCTCCGTCCTCTGATCTGCTGTCAGCCTCCGTTAAAGAATATAGCTACAAGTAGTCAATATCTAACCAGGGTAAACATAGAGGATTTTATCTCAGATAATTTTAAAAAGCCTGTTCGTTCAGGCCCAAATATTGATGTTTACAATGGTATTTTGTGTGGCTTATAAACTGCAGTACAACTTTTTGTTTTATTTTCATTTATAAACTCAACAAAGGTTTTATTGTCCAGTCAGAAAATGTTTTTTTTTTAATAAGGATAGATGTGAAGAATTTTATAGAAAATTTGGTTTAATTTTGAGTCCATTAATTGATAATTAACGTTTATATAGAGGACCCACAAATACAAATAATCAATTTTTAGCTGGGACATGTCATTCATCCTTGATCAGATTAAAGTTTAAATGGTACTCTTGTGAATCAGTTAGGCCGCTCTATAATTGAAATTAAGTCTGAAGTGACTTTCAAAAAAGTTTAAAAAAATTATATTTAGAAAATGGCTACTAAACTGTCAGATTCTGAGAGGAACACCTTGTTAAGCCCAATCCTTGAAAAAGGTGAGTTATTTTTCAACTTTTAAAAATGTTTTAATATGAAAAGATTTTTTAAAGGAATTTCATGACAATTAAGAGCATTGCTGAAAATGGACAGAATTTGAGACCGGAATTTTTATTTGTTGCAAAGACTTAAAATATGGTTTAACTACACATTATTTAAATTTTCTAAATCTCTTCGAAACAAATATTTAGTGTAATAAGTATAAAATGAATTTTTACCATTTTAAGATTATTAAAATGATTTGTAAATTTAAAAAATAAAAAAAGATTTCAATATTTATAATTTGATAAAGAATGAAGTATAGTGCATGTGGACGTTTTAAAGCCGTTGAATTTAATAAAGGATGGAGTATAGTGGAAGGTTTAAAGATATTGAATTTAATAAAGGATGGCATATAGTGGAAGATTTAAGGATGTTTAGTTTGATAAAGGATGAAGTATAGTGGAAGCTTTAAAGATGTTGAATTTAATAAAGAATGGAGTATAGTGGAAGGTTTAAAGATGTTGAATTTAATAAAGAATGGAGTATAGTGGAAGGTTTAAAGATATTTAATTTGAGAAGGGATAGAGTATAGTGGAAGGTTTAAAGATATTTAATTTAATAAAGGATGGAGTATAGTGGAAGTGTTAAAGATGTTATTTTGTTGAAGGATGGAGTATAGTGGAAGTGTTAAAGATGTTATTTTGTTGAAGGATGGAGTATAGTGGAAGTGTTAAAGATGTTATTTTGATAAAGGATAGAGTATAGTGGAAGGTTCAAAGATGTTTATTTCGTTGAAGAATGGAGTATTGTGGAAGGTTTAAAGATGTTATTTTGTTGAAGGATGGAGTATGGTGGAAGGAAGAGATGCTATTTACAAGGAATTCATCTTTAAAGATTTCAATCAATCCTGGGGGTTTATGTCCAGGTATAAAGATTTAAAATCAGTCAAATAAAGTTACTGCCGGCGTAATTTCAACTCAGACCCTCCTTTTGAAGATTAACAAAAATCTGATTCACAACGGTAACCGTTAAAACTTTGCCTAAGCAATAATGGAAAAAATATCTTCGTTTTTCTATGAATTAACACAAATTTTTGTTATCAATTTTTTTATTGCATAAAGAAGACGAATATATAAAGATATCTCAATCAGTTTTACCCAGACAAAGGTTTAAAATGGAAAGTTTATGCAATTTTTGAAATTACGTAAGTAGTTTTCTTTTTTTTCCTTTTTGAATGAAGATTATATCCCCAGGGTTGCACTTAAAGCAGAGAAAATGGATCATCATCCAGAATGGTTTAATGTTTATAACAAGGTAGGATTTTTTACTTTAATTGAGTTTCTTTGAGTTTCTTTGAGTTTCACTGAGTTTCATTGAGTTTCATTGAGATTTATTGAGTTTTATTGAGTTTCATGGAGTTTTATTTAGTTTTATTGAGTTTCATGGAGTTTCTTTGAGTTTCTATGAGTTTCTTTGAGTTTCATCGAGTTTCATCGAGTTTCATCGAGTTTCATTGAGTTTCATTGAGTTTCTCAGAGATTCTTTTATTAGGATTTTTCATTTGAGAGTTTCTTTTGGATTTGAGGTTCTTGAATTTTTGTTATTTAATATTGATATTTATCCTGAAGAATAGATATTATTACGTGTAGTGAAATCTGGGGGGTTTAAGGTCAGTTGTTATTATCGGACCATTTTTCTCATGCAATCCATAATATATATTTGGTTTCTTGTTTTCATAGCCTTGGGTTATTTGATGACCGTGGTTTTGTTTGTTTTTCTTTATTGGGTATTTTTTCAACAGCGTTTCGGATCCGGATCCGGATCCGGTCGGATCCGTATCATTTGGTCGGATCCGGATCCGTATCAGGAAACGTTGATATGGATCCGGGTAGCGCCAAAAATTAACCAAAACCATGGAATAAATAAATCAAAATGGTTCGTAAATGTATTATTTACATGACGAAAATTTTTCAAAATCATCTTTAATAATTTAATGTTTACATTTATATAATAGTAATGACGACATTTTTAACTTTAGGATTACTATAGTTTATAAATTATAACCTTGCATAACATTTAATAGGGAAAATCCGATTCACAGAATCAAAAGTTACCTCGGATCCGGATCCGGATCCGTATCAGAGTCAGGATCCGGATCCATCATCACGGATGCGGATCCGCGGATCCGGATCCGCATCAAAATGATACGGATCCGAAGCACTGTTTTTCAATGTTCATGACATTTTTATTATTTTGTTCATGTTCACTGTTCAGTTCACGTGATTGGTTATAAGTTCAAAACTATTGTTCATGTTCTTCGTCAAGTTTTTGAGCATGTTCATGTTCATGTAAGTGTACAAGTTTAAGTTGATGTTTTTCCTCAACTTCAAAAGCATATTCTTGTATGTATACATGTTCATGAGCTAGTTTATGATTTTCTACTTCTGTTTTTATGTTCATGTTCATGATAATATTTGTTTCATATCAATGTTAAGGTTTTGTTCATAATTATTGTTAATTATTGTTTCTGTAGCATAAGAGAACCCACTATTGAAAGTAATCAATTTTCAAAGTTAAAAACTTGGATATCTTTTTCATTCTAGATCTTACAAAGGGTTTAAGAGAAACGTTGTAAATGAGGAATGGAGGTTTTCTTCAAATAACGCATACTGTTCCTTTTAGTTCATTAAATGAATAAATATTTGAACATGTTAATGAACAATGAATATATTTATGAACAGTGAACATGTTTAGGTTCAGATTACTCTGGCTACTCACGACTGCAGTGGACTAAGTACTAGAGACGTAACGTTGGCATCATTCATCGAATCGATTCTATAATTTTTCTTATTATGCGATTTGAAAAGTATTTAATAAAAAAGATGGCTTTTATACTGTATACCTATATATATTGTTTCAAGAAGTAGGATTTTTAAATTTCCCTGAAAAGAACTGAGTTCTTGCAACAAACTCTGATTTTCTCATCCCTATATATGTATTTGCAGTCCAATGTCGTCAACCTTTTATGATATTTCAAACTATGAATTCTGTTAGATCAAATAATTTAAGTTTGAAATTTCTAAGGTTGCAAAGATATGAGGAAGAGAAAATTTGAGTTCGTGGGAAAAACTGAGTTCTTTAGTCAGCTAAAGAAAATTGGAGAATGTGCAGGGTGTTGAAATAATCGCTCTTTTATCTACTATACATTATATAAACCCCACTCTTTAAGTTCGACTTTTACCATTTTTGGACATTTTGGAAATGTACGAACATGTTCATCGATTTATGCAGTGAGAACCAGAAAACTGTGGAATAGGAAGGCGACATTGTAGAACTATTTGATGTTTTTCCAAAGACCATATTTTTACCAGCAACATATTAAGTCAGGTATTAAGTTGAATGGGCTTATGTTGTTATACTGTACACGCTACAGCTTTACAGTGTCTCATGTTCATTGGACTAATTAAAGTCATAACTTTTGTCTTACTGTCGTCTTTCTATTCCAGAGTTGTCTGGTTCTTACTGTATATCATTCAAAGATTGGAACCACTATACATATCACAATACCCAATTAAATATCTGAACAATGCGTAAAATGCGTCAGAGCTGGGTTAATTTGCGTCAGTGCAACACCTGTGTTGACTAGCGTGTGAGAGGTAAGCAGGTTTGCGGTCAACCCGAGACAGCGTTTCCGGTGGGGAGGGAGGAGGGGGCCGGTCAGGTTTCTTTAGCTTTCAACCACAGGATGTTTTTTTTAGAGGGGGAGGCGGGGGCAACGTTGAGAACGAGTTATTTACAGAATTATTATAGCTTGTTTTATATCTGAAAAGGCCTCAAAGACTGTAATTTCAAGTGACTCTCCAAAAAAAAGTTACAGGTCCGATTTACAACAATACCCTGCTTTAAGAAGAGGAAGAAATTTTATTTTCCTTTTTTGTCTCTGCATGCAGCAGAAATGCACAAATCACTGTTATATAGAAACTACAATGTTAAATAATCAATTTTCAGATAGTGAAATAAATTTATTTCATTCATTTCTGAACAGACAAGGTTTAAATTAAGGGTGCCGTCGGGAGTCAGACATGCCATTCTAATAAGTCCTCTCCAAATGTTAGATATTCTTCATTCAGAAACTCATAAAGAATAAAGCGTTATAGTATATACTCCTTATTTCTGAAATGTGGCCGCTTTGTGTTTCTTGTGCTTCCAAAATTACTACAATCTACAAAATTACTACAATCAACGACTTAATTTAAAGTGGCAAGTCCACCGTGACTTTAAGATTTTAAAAATTGAATACAATAGTTTTTAATGCCACTCTGGTTTTTTTTAATGGAGGGTTGCTAGAAATAAAGTCTGTGGAGCCCACAATTTAAAAATACTCGGGAAAATACGACTCGGGTTTATGCTGTCTTTGGGCCTTATTTACGACTTGAGCTTTCGGATTCAAGCTGCATCTTATTGTCCACAGAGTTGGGTTCAAGAAACCGGTTTAATATTCTATAATAATGCTATGAATATATACAATATAAATGAATATAGAATTTTCCCAAATCTGGTGGGGACATTGGGCAAATATTTGGGAAAATCTGGCAAATGAATTTGTACTCGTAGGCGGTTTCAGGGGGGGGGGGGTTGGCAGTCCGTTACCCCCCCCTGAGTGAAATTTAGGGGTGTACCCCCCGGATTTTTACAAAGTACATTCTGAACCCGAACGGCGATTCTCCTAAAGAGGCTTGCCTAAATTTCGGACAACAGTGTTTTAAATGCCTTTATTTCAAGTGGCCCAAGTAAGCTAAATTATCGTAAATGGAACCCTGTAATTAAAGGTACACTGAAAATTGTCAAAAGTCCCATTAAATGAAGGTTAAAACCTTAAGAGAGAAAGCATGAAAGATGTGCACTGCAGTTTAAATATAAAAGCAACGAGCCATCTTTTAATGATACATTTTTGACATAATCTTGATTAGAATTGAGAAGACAAACCATACCAAATGATATCTAACGTCCTCTAATTGGTCAAGATGCTTTCAACAGACTGCATGTTCACACTAAGCCGTAATTGGTGAAGCTTAGTTAAAAAATGATAAATTGTGTCTGAAGCGTCTACCTATATAGTGCTTGTCAGTAGGGCTGGGCTACCTATATAGTTCTTGTCAGTAAGGCTGGGCTACCTATATAGTTCTTGTCAGTAAGGCTGGGCTACCTATATAGTTCTTGTCAGTAAGGCTGGGCTACCTATATAGTTCTTGTCAGTAAGGCTGGGCTACCTATATAGTTCTTGTCAGTAAGGCTGGGCTACCTATATAGTTCTTGTCAGTAAGGCTGGGCTACCTATATAGTTCTTGTCAGTAAGGCTGGGCTACCTATATAGTTCTTGTCAGTAAGGCTGGGCTACCTATATAGTTCTTGTCAGTAAGGCTGGGCTACCTATATAGTTCTTGTCAGTAAGGCTGGGCTACCTATATAGTTCTTGTCAGTAAGGCTGGGCTACCTATATAGTTCTTGTCAGTAAGGCTGGGCTACCTATATAGTTCTTGTCAGTAAGGCTGGGCTACCTATATAGTTCTTGTCAGTAAGGCTGGGCTACCTATATAGTTCTTGTCAGTAAGGCTGGGCTACCTATATAGTTCTTGTCAGTAAGGCTGGGCTACCTATATAGTTCTTGTCAGTAAGGCTGGGCTACCTATATAGTTCTTGTCAGTAAGGCTGGGCTACCTATATAGTTCTTGTCAGTAAGGCTGGGCTACCTATATAGTTCTTGTCAGTAAGGCTGGGCTACCTATATAGTTCTTGTCAGTAAGGCTGGGCTACCTATATAGTTCTTGTCAGTAAGGCTGGGCTACCTATATAGTTCTTGTCAGTAAGGCTGGGCTACCTATATAGTTCTTGTCAGTAAGGCTGGGCTACCTATATAGTTCTTGTCAGTAAGGCTGGGCTACCTATATAGTTCTTGTCAGTAAGGCTGGGCTACCTATATAGTTCTTGTCAGTAAGGCTGGGCTACCTATATAGTTCTTGTCAGTAAGGCTGGGCTACCTATATAGTTCTTGTCAGTAAGGCTGGGCTACCTATATAGTTCTTGTCAGTAAGGCTGGGCTACCTATATAGTTCTTGTCAGTANACTTGGATATCTTATTCATACTTGATCAGACAAATCTTCATAAGGGTGCCATTGTGAATTGGACTTAGGCCTTTGAAGATTATTCTTTGTAAGTTTTGTAAATGTTTTTCTCAGTTTATTTTTATACAATTGTAACTAACTCATGCCAACTCACTTTAGTAAAGTGAAAGGTCACGCACCCCTGACCCTTTTGTAAAAGTAAATTCAACCTAAAGTCTGACCGCGTCAACTTTGTTGCACGGGCTAGGCCTATTGAGTTTCTGCTTTATTAACCCAATGTCCGGGCGATGCAGTACAAACTGGGACCGGAAAGGTTGACCAGGCTCAGTGAGGTATGGTTTTTAAAAACAAGAAGTTTTCTTACAAAATACTGGCTCTCAGGAGACAAACAAAGGAATTGAGTCTTAGCCAAAAACTCAAATTTTCTAATCTCTGTATCTTTGCAACCTAATGGTGTAAAACATTTGATATTTTAAACTTAAATCATTTTATCATAACAGAATTTATAGTTTGAAATATCTAAGTTCTACAACTTTTGGTAGCTATAAGATATCGGGATTAGAAATTCAGAGTTTGCAGCAAAGACTCAATTGTTTTGTTTAGCGCCGAACAGAAATGGTTAAAAAAGATACTATTCTGCAATGTTAGCGTTTCAAAAATTCTCTTCAGCATTTCTCGAAATTTTTGGTTTTGCTAGCTAGTGATAAAATAAAGTTTAGTTTTTTTTTTTCACTTTAAAGGTTTTTTTAAGAAATGAAAGTTTCACAAAAAACAAAATTTTTTGCAGATGCCAAATTTGGACCTGGAGAGAAAATATCTGAAAAAAATTAACCAAAAACGATAGTTTTCCCATTATTTTGTACTTTTCTCAGGATAAAATTACAGCAATATTTTATAAAGTAAATTTTTACAGAATATTTGGAAATGTTGGAAGTTGACAGTATTAAAACTCTCGAAAAAACCTATCAATAGCTGTGGCCCACAATTAAAATCAACATGATTAAGTTCAATTAAGGCTAACTTTGAGTATTCAATATAATATCTATTTTTTCTATTCTCATATATTTTTTTTTAAAAAGTTTTATTTAAAATTCTCCTGGTTCTTTACGATGTAGAAAAGCAAGGAATTGGCGAAACATTTAAAAACAAGAAAAAATCTTGTGACTTAATTTACAGAAACAAGTTTGACATCGCGCTCCATTAGGCAATAGGAGAAGGTCAAACATACAACGTTACTGGTGCACCTTTGTGTCCTCGTAGCTCTTCTATTTTTGATTTTAATCTCAATTATGAGAAAAGCTAGTTTATTTGGTCCTTTAACAAAAGAAGTTCTGATTGAAAACATGTACGATTTCAATTAAAACTTTCAATTAAAGATTTCAATTTAACGTGCATGAAAGGATCTGAGCGTTTGCTGCAAACTCAAATTTTCTAATTCCTATATCTTTTCAACCCGATGCCCACTCCTGTATGCCGAGTCCATTAGCGCCTGATCCAATCAAGGTTCAGTCATTTCTTTGTTGTCTATTCTGAACCAATAGAAATAGTATGGCGGTAACATCTATCTTTCTATCTATCCCATTATCCAATTAGAAATAAATCCTTATATCGGCGCTAACAGTAAATGGAAATATTTACTTCTACTGAAACTATAGTGTGCCGTCGACTTTTGATATTTCAATTTATAAATAATTTTAGATCAACTAATTTAAGTTTGAAATTTCAAAAATTTGTTGTTGAAATAGGTTGTAAGATATCGGGATTTTAAAGAAAATTTGAGTTTGTTGCAAAAACTCAGTTCCTTTCTAAAATTTGTCCTGACATGTAAATCCTTTCAGTCTTTTGCATTAATTCTTTAATCCTTTCTCATTTTCACCTTGAAGGACATGGGGGAACATATGTTTTCACCTTGAAGGACATGGGGGAACATATGTTTTCACCTTGAAGGACATGGGGGAACATATGTTTTCACATTGAAGGACATGGGGGAACATATGTTTTCACCTTGAAGGACATGGGGAACATATGTTTTCACATTGAAGGACATGGGGAACATATGTTTTCAAGTTAAAAAACCGAAGATATTATCCTCAACTTGTTAATCAGGCAATTGAAGGACATGGGGAACATATGTTTTCAAGTTAAAAAACCGAAGATATTATCCTCAACTTGTTAATCAGGCAAGAGGCTTGTAACGTAGTAACCTAAAATGATGTCAACGTTCATTTTGATATTTTTACTAAATTAGAGACTCACAACTTACTCTGCTTTCTTCTTATACTTTAATTGACATATTTTGTTGTCATTCTTAAATTCAAAAACATATTTTTTTCTATAAAAATATGAACAAATAAATATTTTAAAATTACTAACTTTTCAAGTTTAAATGTTCTGAATATACATGTATATACAGGGTGTCCCACGAAACATGACAGTTGGTGAATAGTTTGGAATGTCTTTTTCCACATATTGTATTTTGCAGTTTATTTCTTTAAAAAATGTTTAACTCATATATATTTTACTGTGAAATCAATTTTACTATAATATAACTGTCATATGAAAAATGTTATTGGTCTCTTTATTATCAAACAACGTATCAAATTATGGAAGAAGGCATTTTAAACTATTCACCGACTGCCATCTTTCGTGGGACACTCTGTATGAAAGGTTGTAATTCAATTTTCACTGAAATAACTCTGCATTAAAAAGAATTCTAAAGTGATCTTATAAATTCCTGGAAACCAATCTTCACTAAAATAATAACTTAATATCTTTCTAACTAAAATTACAGCCTTTTAATTCAGAGAATTTGATTTTTTACATAAATATAATTTATTGAGATTTATATTACAGTTCAACTTGGATTTTCACGTGGTTTTCTATCTTATATTTAATGGCACTTCTATCGACTAGGAGATTTTTATTTTTTAATGGATGAAGCTGGATATGGGGGTCGAGCCGGGGGTTTAGATATGCTGTTCTTTCTGGGTAGGGGAGGTTGGATTGGGAACAAATCACGGGATATTTTACTCTGGGAAGGTTTAGCTCCGTATATCTCAGCGTACAGGGGTTCTTCGGAGTCCACGGGTTCTAGTTCAGATATTGATAGTTTGGACAGAAGAGTTTTAAAAACTGAACCCTCACAGGTTCTCTTGTACTTGGCCCAGAACTGTTCAGGACTAAGACTGGTCGGAGAGGACGGGTTTGAGGAGGATGAAGAGGACAGGGAGGAGGAGCTGGAGGACACCGAGGATATCCGGGTCCGAATACAACCCTGGTCGGACCACGGGGTGGAGTAAACATTATCCATGTCTACTCCAGTGGCGTGTTCTTGTAAACTTCCAAGTTTAGGATTGAGCCTGGGTCTCGGAGTAGGACGGTTCTGTTTTGTCGACACGGACATGGTTCTCCGGGGTCGGGTCTCAGGTCTAGTTGAACCCGTAGTAATCAGAGTATTCGATCTTAATCTAGTCTTGGGTTCACCTTCGTACTTAGGGTTCCTGAAAATGGACAAATTATAGAACTCATAAAAATGGACGGGTTTAAATTTCTCCTCAAACCTTAAATAGCTCAACATCATGAAATATGAAATAAACGAACCAAATAAAAATCTAAATTTTTTAGACTTTGTTTTCTTAATGAGATTTTCAAAATATTATATTTTTAAAATTTTTCTTATCTTTTTAATAAAAAATGTATCCTGGTAAAAATCGATGACATTTCTTTGTTTATTGTGAAGTTGTACAACACAATATAATTGTTTTTAAAAACATTGAATCCCTGTTTTTCAATGATATTATTTCTATAAGCATGACTCACCAAAACCCGTCTTTTAAAGAACTAAACTCCTCCCCGGCCGGCACACTCGCCGCGGAGATACTTTCTACACGTCTTCTCTCCGACATGGTCCGATCTCAACTGTTATGTTGTTCCGATCAATCTGGTCAAATCCATCAGGGGTCAGGGTAATTGACATCTACTCTATCTAGCACTCACCTCCATCACCTGTATCTTGTTTTTGCTTTCTGAAAACTTGGTAAACACGCAAACACACTGGAGCAAATCCTCAAACTTATTATTTTCAACAGTGTGTCAAAAAATTTGTTAAAAAATATCAGTTTTACTTTTTTGTTACAAAATTTCATTTTTTGGCCATTGATAATTTAAGGAACGTGTTCATGATTTTTTTTATTTGTTAAATTTTTACCTATTTTTTTGGGACACCCATCCCCATCCCAACCATTTACTCGTCCATATATTAACTAGCATAATTGAAACCCATCTGATACGCGAACTCTGCAAGGAATCCCAATAAATTTGAGACTAAGATTTTTTATTGCATATCGTAAATATTTGAAACATAAGCATGTTGTTTTATTGAACTTGTTATAAATTATTCGAAAATGTAAAAATGGTGGCTCTATATTCGGACAAAACCGTGAATTGTATCCATTCGATTTCACTCATTTTTTACAAGTAAGAGTTTGTTAAATTTATTGAGTCACTCGAAAATGTTTTCATTTCTTAAAAACTTGTTCGCTGTCTTACAGCCTTACTAGTACAGTTTTTTTAACATAAGTGTCTTCAAATATACATTGGAATTCATGCAGACGACATTAAACCTTACTTTTATCTTTGATAGTTATCAAAGCACAAAGGAAGTGAGTCTTGGCTACAAACTCTGATTTTCTAATTTTTCTTTTTAACACAGTGTCGTACACCTAATTTTCAAAACTATAATTTCTGAGCTGAAAACTTTAGAATGGGATATCCTTAATCCGAGCTGAAAACTTAAGAATGGGATATCCTTAATCCCGATCGCTAAATTAATCTGGAGATTAAAAACAAGAGGAGAACAAGCATTAACCCCGATATTCACCATTTAAAAATTCCCAGCTCTGATATATCAAATAATCTAAGTTTGAAATATCACAGGTTTAAAACATCAGGCTGCAAGCAAAGATATAGGGATTAGAAAATTCGAGTTTGTAGCAAAGACTTAATTCCTTTAGTACATTACATCTTTGTAAAAATTTCTTACTCTAATAGTTCTTTAAGTATGTGTAACAAATGCCTTGCTCCAACAGTACTTTAAGTCTGTATCAATCCAGATTCTCTGTATTCTTAAGTATGTATCATCCAGATACAACTCTCTCTGTATTCTTTAGTATTTATCAATCCAGATACAACTCTCTCTGTATTCTTTAGTATTTATCAATCCAGATACAACTCTCTCTGTATTCTTTAGTATTTATCAATCCAGATACAACTCTTTTCAACTCTATGCTCTCTACCGAGAACTTACTCTGACCGTAATCAAACAGAGTTAATATTCAACTAACTATATTTTGGGTTTAATGATACAGGTAAAAATGTAATTGATTGATAGGTCTGTTCAGAGATTAACGAACAGAGTTCTATATACAAGACATGTTAATTAGGGTTATTCCTTTATATACAGGTAGGACCAGGTTTCCAAGATATTGGGGATATTACTATATTTATTACATCTTGTATATATGAACACAATGAAATAATTTTCAAAATGTCGCTTTCAAAGTGATATAATATGTAAAATTCGATAAAATATTATCAAAATTTATGTGTTGAAATGAAAATAATCAATATAATTGATTCAATGAAAAACAATGAAAAACATAGAAAACAATATTAGATAAGCTCTTTTGCTGTCTTCATAATTATGGAATAAACTGAATTAAGATTAAAAAATTCTGTAAATCCATTTTAAAGGTCAGTAGGCGATATTTTAAATGATTCTTTTTTTAGTGAGAGGTATGTACAATTCACTACGCGGTAACTTGAGAGGCTGTGTCTGAACACAATCGAATTAAATAAATATATTCTATTTTATAAACTATTTTTTGTCTTCAATTCTGGTTTCTCTACAAAATTGACTTGCACATTTATGCTGCAGGTAAACAATGAAGGAATTGTCAGAGTTGAACACTTTAAAACGAGAAAAACAACGTTATCTTCCACATTAATGACCTAATAAAGGTTTCAAGGGTACCGTTGTGAATCGGGCCTTTTTTAAGTTCTTGGAACATCAAAAAATAATAAAGTAAATATTGAAGGTATTCAAGTCATACCACATTTCATAAGTCCTTTAGGATAATTAATTTATGAATGCCGCGCAGAACGAGGACGGTTAAAAATTCGTCACTTAGTTCCAATATTTATTAAAACTCTCTCCGACTTCATGTTCCAAAAACTTGTTTTTAAATCTTGATTATTTTTTATACATTTAATGATATTTGAGGAAGACATAAAAACTTTTAATTAGTTGAAAAACAAAACTTGGGTATAGAATTACAGTAAATGAGAGGGAGTGGAGGGAAGGGGGGGCGTCAATAAAAAAAATCTTTAAAACATTTGAAATCGGCAAACTCCTATAACACATGCAATTACTTGAACCCTCAGTGTGCCTGATAAATTATAATGTTGGCCAATATATTATAATGTTGGCCAATATAAAAAATATTTAGGTTGATATTTAATATCGAATCTGTGGATGCATAATAAGTGTCTAATTTATAAGAAGCTCTTCGATCATATATGTATATATTTATACATTAGCTATAACTGGCAATACGGCTGGACCTAATGGGCTGACATTAGGTCAGGCCTGAAGGATATGACATAGGCTAAAATATTCTAATTTTTTTTTTGGGAAAACCGAATTGTCTGCTTAAATATGATTTAGGAATGAAAAGATAAATGGAAAGAGTTTGCAAAAGGCAAGAAAAAATACACATCTTACTGTTCATTCCTGTATGCCGAGTCCATTAGCACCTGATCCAATCAGGGTTCAGTCATATGTTTGTTGTCTATTCTGAACCAATAGAAATAGCATGGAGGTAACATCTATCTTTCTATCTATCTCATTATCCAATTAGAGATATAAATCCTTATATCGACGCTATCAGTAAATGGCAATAATTACTTCTACTGAAACTATAGTGTCTTCACTCTAAGCTAAAGAGATCAAGGTAAAATGTATGCGACATTGCTGGTACGTTACATTAGCTTAACCCCCTCTCCCACCTGGACTTATTTTGTTCACCATAAAAATACACCAAAAAGACTACTTTTTTGGGTGTTACTAACCTTAGAGTCTAAAAATTATTCCTTTGCTTGAAAAACTAACTTTTTGACTTTATAAATTTATCACTTAACTCCATCACAGCTAACTAAATCAATAATCACAGCATCATTAAAAATTATATTTTTACGAATAAACGAAATTTCTTCTGAAATTTTCAGATAGAATTTACTCAATCTACATTTTAACCAAATCTTTTAAGCTACAATTTTCTGGGATTTGCTTGCACAAACATTTCAATGATTTTTTTCAGTAGAGAGCTCAGACAGCCTTATAGGGTGTAAAGCTATAAGTGCAAGATCGTTAAGTCTGCTCTCCGTCATAGTACATCTTGTGTAAAGAAGTATTCTCTTTAGAAGGCTAAAACTTTTCTCTCCTTGTATTAACAGTGAATTTAGACAAATCCTTAGTCTTTGTCATTGTCAGGTGTTACTTTCTAAACGTAGTTTCCTTTTAATTTTGTATTTTTGGAACTCCCAGGGGGGGCAAGAGAACTACTGCCCCCCCTAGGTACACCACTGTGCCTGACCTGAGGAAGGGAAATGCAAGCAGATGTAATATTAAAAGAGCCTCCCCCATGGATTTATTGGTCATATGTATAATATTCTACATATTTTATCTACATAAATTATAATAAAAAAAAATATTTTCTTTTCACAATATATATTTAATTTATAAGTTAAATTATCTGGAATTATCTATCACACTTCTCTGGTCTAGGCTCAGTTGAAAAATGTAATTTCATAAAGATAATTTTGAAAAAATGTTTGCAAATAATTTTCTTTATTCGCGAAATAATTTTAACCAAAAATGTAAAAGCTGTGAATTTAAAACAAAACATAATGTTAAAGGCATTGCAACTGTGGACTTAGTAACTACTTTTGTATAGCAGAGTTAAAGCATATGAGGGATGAAACTAAATAATTTAGAAAGTTGTGCCATATAAAGACTCTTTTTAGATCATATTAAACAAATGAGAATCTTGAAATGTATATGTAAATATATAATCCACCTTATTCCAAGTAAATAAGGGTATTGCCAAAGTTAAATTCGTAATTTTTAATGTTTGAAGAAAATAACTTTTTAATCAGACAGTTTTTAATAGAAATTAACCCAAAACTCAAATAAATATATAATCCACCATTATTCCAAGAAAATAAGGGTATTGCCAAAGTTAAATCAGAAATTTTCAATGTTTGAAGAAAATAACAAAAAAATTATTAGGACTTTTTTATCAAACAGTTTCTAATATATTCCGCCATTTTGTTATTTATGCCCAGCTGTTTATAGGATTGGTTGAACATGCGTACAGCTCCATTGGCGGGAAAATGCGCGAGAAATCCGTTCAGTTTTGTCACAAGATAAAATTGTGCCAAATCTTCTTTGTTCATTTCTTCCAGATTCATATTCAAAAGCTCATCAAACTTAAACAGACAAATAATTAGTTTATTAAAAATGTAAACCAACATTTTTTAGATTGAAAAATCAATTAAATAACTGATAATTAAAATATTTACCTTTACATTGGAGTTTTTCAAAGTTAACAAAATAGAAGAATGTTGTCTCAATGCATTTTTTTGATGTTTTTTCTCAGCTACGTAGAATTTATTCAGGATTTCAACCTCTGTCAAAACTGATTTTGAGGATTTGTTTCTCTGCTCTGCTAAACTTTTTTCTGCCTCTTCTAACTTGTCTGCTGAACTCAAAAATATTCTTGATCTAAAAAAGTAAAAATTTTAAGATTCTTAAAAAAACAATCGCTAATATTAACCCCCGTCCCCCGCACCTAAATCCCCCAAAATGAGTCTAAAAAATCTACAAAATCCCCCCTTCAATACCCCAAAGTGAGTACAAAAAAACCTCAAAATCCAGGAGAATCTCCGAAAATACAACCTGTACTGTGATGATGTTTTAACTGTTGGATTATGCAGATTCCAAAACATGGTCAGAATACTCTCAAACTTTACTATAGTTCACCAGCATAATTTCTAAGCTTACAATTCTCTAATCTTAAAATTCTAAAAAATAGATTTTTAATTTACACAAGGAAAAAAGAAGCTAAAAGGGACAAATCCCCATTTCTTTGCAACCTGAACCTGTTTGTGTAACCCTTTGATACTTCAAACTTATACTCTTTGATCTGTAGCTGAATTCATAATTTGAAAAACCCAAGTTGCTAAGGTGAATTAGAAAATTAGCGAGTTATTTATGTTTAAAAAAAATATAAATTGAGTCTTCGTCACAAATTCTGATTTTTTAATCCCTTTATCTTTGCAACCCAATGCGCGAGACCCTAAACATTTCAAACTATTAATTCTGTTAGCTCAAATAATCTTACTTTGAAATATCAAAGGTTTACACCTTCAGGTTGCAAAGATATAGGGATTAGAAAATTTAAGCTTGTGGAAAAGATTCAATTTCTTTAAGGTTTTAATAAGTTTTATAGAATTAAATAAACAATAATTGTTCTAATTAAAAATATGCTTCCTATAGATTCGTCGAACCAGACTTCCACAGTTTCCGTATGGTTTCCCAAACTATAAAGATAAACAAATTACATATAATCAAGATTTTAGGGGCGTATTTATGTTGGGGATAGGGGGAATAGGCCACGCCCCCCCCCTGGGAAAAGTGAAAAGTCCAGATGGTTTATCCTCAAACGGGGGCCCCCCCCCCGGACAAATTTAGGCACAACGAATGGGGGGGGTGACTTTCTCTATGATCTTTTTTACAATCCTTTAAATTCACCAAAATATGTTGTAGTCTTAAAAATGAATTAAAACAAAGAAATAAATTCCCCTATATTTTTGTTTCGCTTTTCGGTTCAATCTCTAATTTTCTAATCCCTTTCTCTTTGCAACCTGATGATTGAAATCTTGATATTCAAACTAAGATTAGTCGGTGATCTAGTAAAATTTATAGTTTGAAACAGCAAAGGTTTACGAAATCAGGTTGCAAAGATTATTGGTTGAGAAAAGTAATCAGTTCCTTTCATATTCGTCAATTTTTAAGTTAAAAAATACAGACAACATTTTGGAAAACCCGAGATTAAAGCTGGTTTACGATTCCAGAGAGGAGGGGGGGGGGGGTTAGCCACCTGTAGTAGGTTGGATTATCCTTATCTCCTCCTGTATACCCAACCCTAGTAAATACCACTCCAGGTACTCCCCCAAAAGTGGCTTCTGGACTCCAAAATCATCCTGAAAAGCCAAGGTTGAAAAATATTTCTATTACAAGCTTAAGATGATGTGATAAATACTAGTACTGTATCAAACCTTTTTTAAAACTTTTTATTTACCTCTTATTAACCTTAGACGTATCACATAATTGTAATTCTCCATTTAAAAAAATAATGTTTTTTTAAATTGTGGCTTTAAAAAAGAAAATTGTGGGAATTGAACACTTTTCAAAGAGAAAAGTTACGATATCTTTTACATTATTAATAATATTAAGTTTAAAGTTGTAACTGTTGTGAAATTTATTTTGATGGTGAAAATAAACAACAATGCGTTATGTACAGTAGAATATGGCGTTCAGTTTTCAGATTGTTCTAATTTACTGGATGAAAAAGCTATAGTTAATGGGCTGTTCTTTTTCTCAAAAATGTTCTTTCTCCCCTCTTCCTTCTAACTTCTAACCTAGAGCAAGATGGACAGATTTGAAAGTCTCCAGGTGTAAGTTTAGACTGGGAGGAGTGATTAAACCAAGATCTTGAGCTTCTCCTCTAATCTGAGAAATCTGAGCCAAAATATTCATCTCAGGATTTCTGATGAAAACAGTTTTCTGAAAATAAAATGTTTTTTTTTATTCTTTGTTTACATTCAGTGAGACAACATTAAAGCAATAAGCACAGTTGAAGTTATGATGGGAAAATTTTTGCTTGAAACTTATTAAATCACTTATTAAATGAGATGGGTTTGTTTACATTGCATAATAGCTGTGTCTCATATGTTTAATGGCCTATGCACAGTCATAACTTGAGTCAGCTGTGTCTCATATGTTAAATGGACTGTGTACAGTCATAACTTGAGTCAGTTGCATGTCGCATATGTTAAATGGACTATGTACAGTCATAACTTGAGTCAGCTGTCTCATATGTTTAATGGACTATGTCCAGATATAACTCGTCTTTTATTCCAGATATTTTTAAATCTCACAGGGTTCCCTCAAAAGACCACAAAGACGACCGAAAACTCTTAAAATATGACGATTCCAAGTTCAAACTGGGCCTTCTGTTAAAAAATAGTAATTTAATTGTTTATTTAATGATTTGGCAAAGAAAAAAACAAGTTTACAGTTGCAGGGAATCATGAATATAAAGATACAGACAGTATAAATTCACAACAGTCGTCTCTGAAGTCTCATCCTATGTTGGTAACCCTGTTACTTGAAACTTGTATTGGTTGATTTTTAACTTTTTTGTTAATTTTCCGAAAATTTAGATTTTATGAAAGCTGAAAAATGAACTCTCTTTATTTCATTGAAATAACAGATATTTATTCAACATTCTCTTTTATTTTCATATACCTCAATTTATTTGAATTATTTGGATTCACAAAAGCTGAGTTCAAATCTTTAAAGTTTGTGAAACTTTGGATAAAGCTGTAATCTATATCTTGTGCAAAACGGATTAAATTTATTCCTCTTGGATACGCCCTGATGGTTTCACCCTGAAGGGATTAAGTACTTATCCCTTGAGTTAAAAGTTTGCACAGTGGATATCGAGATGAAGCACTGTGGATTAGCGCTATCTCACGTAAAAGTGTTAGCCTCTGACTCCTGTGAAGTATCTGTTGTAAACATACTAAATATTTTTCTTTTCGGAACTTCTTAATGACTTTACGTAAAAGGAAAGCAGTCGCAGCTTTCCCTTTTATGGCAGCTTTCACAACATTTGAATTTCATGAATTAATGTGAATGCTTTAGTAATTTTCCAATTTCAAGAGGGACCCATAAAATTGTGGAAAAGGAAGGTGACTGACTCAACTTCTCAAGCAATTAATAATTTAATAATATATTCCATACCTCATTTACA